TCTTAGCCACAGCCAAACCGGTCAGGGTTTTTGATGGATTTTTAAAAAATATATGTGAACTTATGTCTTCCACAGATAGTGACAATTTTACTTATTCCTTTCCAACTTGGATGCCTTTTATTTATTTCTCTTTCCTATTGCTTTGTTTAGGACTTCCAGTACTATGTTGAATAAGTCAAGTGAGCATCCTTGTCTTGTTTCTGATCCTTGAGGAAAAGCTCTCAGCTTTCCACCACTGAGTATGTTAGCTGTGGGTTTGTTATTTATAACCTTTAATTGAGAGGTTTTAAATCATAAGTGGATGCTGTATCGTGTCAAATACTTTTCTGCATCTCTTGGGAATATGACTCTTATCCTTCACTTTGTTAATGTGGTGTAGCACTTTCATTGATGTGTGGGTGAATTCAACAGTGTTTGGTATATGGCAAATTCAAGTTTTGCTTTTTGGAATTTTCTGGAATTTTTTTCTGAATATTTTCCATCTGTGGTTGGATAAATCCCCAGATGCAAAACCTGCGGATATGGAGGGCTGACTGTACTTGTTCCTCTCTCTATGTAATAGGTCTTTTTCTCTGGCTGCGTGTATAATATAAAGTTTCAGCAATTTTATTATGGGGTATGTATGTGTTTATTGATTCTTCTACTTGTGTCTCCAATTTTCTTGAATCTGTAGGGTTATAATTTCCCAATCTGAAAAATTCTGACTTTCTTCAAATATGTTTTAAAATATATTTTTGATTTCAGAGAGAAAGGAAGAGAGAAACATCAATGATGAGAATCATTGGTCAGCTGCCTCCTGCACCCAGGGCATGTGCCCCCTACCCTCCCTTAAACTTGTTTTCTCCTTGGGACTCCACTTTACACATTTCAGACCTCTTAATACTGTCCCACAGTTGCTTGGTTCATCTTTTGAGTTCCTTTTTCTCTGCACTAATTTGTATAGTTTCTATTGCTCTCTTCTGACTTAGTGTTACCTTTCTCACTGTAGTGTTTAATCTGCTCTTACTCCCATCCAGTATGTTTTCACTTTAGATACTGATTTTTTCACTTCTAGGAATTGTTGGCAACATTTTTTTTCTTCCATTTTTATGTTCCTTTTCCTTTACGTTCTTTAGTATATTTATAATAGTGTTTTAAGGTACTACTCTGCTAATGACATGGTCTCATTTCTGTGACTGTCAGGTTTCTTTTTTCCTCTCTTGGTTATGGGCAATATTTTCCTGCTTCTTTGCATGCTGGTAATTTTGGATTGGCTGCTAGACTTTTTAAAGGAAAAACAAAATTTACAAAGTGTTGGGCTTTGATCTGGCACTAAGTGAAATTATTGCTGGATCAGTTTGATCTTTTCAAGACTTACTTTAAGATCCAGAGCAACCTTTCCTCTAGGCCTGAATTAGGATTTACTGTTAAGGTATGCATCTTTCTTAGTACCCAATGTCTTATATTTATGAAGCTTTTGCACTCTAGTTATTGGGAAAATGAACTGCTGTGAATTCCCAGGAATTGTTGGGTCTGCTGCTTTCCAGTCATGATGATATATGCAGATTAACACTTGGTCAAAGATTCTAAGACCCCCTTTTGCAGATCGCAGGAGCTTGCTGTCTCCTTTTTAGTATTCTGCCCCCTCTGTTGTGGCTTAGCTTTCCTGAACTCTGATCTGTCTCTTCAACTCAGTGAGACCATTGGATTCTGTCTCCCTGTCCTTTGGCCTGGCGGTAGGCTGGGATAATTGTTCCCCTCACTTGTTTTTGTTCTCCTTAGTACTGCCTGTTGTCATATGTACTAGCTGTTTACAGTGTGATGAAAATCACAGCCGTTAATCTTTCATGTGCGCAAGCGGAGACCTCTCCTGTAGAACTCATAACGAAAGCCTGTGAAATTTCTAGTTTTGACAGTTGTTCTCACTGACTTGCTGTTTTCTATTCAGAATGGATAATTATTTGATGGTAATTATTGGGCTACCTGGCTCAAAGGATCATAAGAAACCGCCCCTCCCCCCGGCCCCCACCCCTACGTAGATCCCACACAAGTATTATGTTTATGAATGGTGTGGCCCTACTCTTCCAGATTCAGTGGTTTGAGGGACTACCTTAATGTTGTCTGGGGGTTTCTTTTGCCACACTAGTTGCTTTGTTTTTGTGAAAGGATTAAAAACTGATGGCTGCTACTGCCTTTTTGTCTTGTCAAGCACTCTATACCTTTTAAATTATCATTTTATTCATCTCATTTGGGTGTTAACTGTCCTGGAAGGTTAACATAGTATTTCCACTTAATTAGCTTAGTTTACAGTAAAAAAATTGGGGGGATTTTTCTTACCCCCAAATGGTGAATCTGTTACTACTCTAAGCATAAACTGTTGAAAGTGGTAATTTTATATACCTCCAGATTATATAAACTGATCCTCCCTGGTGTAAATTACACACAGAGCACATGGCCAGGACACCACTGACCTATTACTAACCCAGTGTGTGACATGGAACTAGTCCCTTCTCATTCATTTGTTGACAGTACCTGGCACCATCAGGAAGACTAGATTTGTCCCTGGGGAGCAGAGTTTTGTTAGGGAAGGCAGACATGTATGTAAAGCTAACTAGAATTCAGTGTAGTCTGTGTCCACTGAGAAAATTATGCAAAGATGCCTTCTTGGTCTTTCTTTTCTCTAACAGGAAAGAAAAAACACAAAGAAATCACCTGCAGTTTTCATATTGTTCTTCAAAGGCTTAGATTTTACCAAATGACCTGGAAGTCTGGGTGGGCTGGGCCATGGCCTCTCTATCCTTACTTCAGTCAACATAGTTTCACTGCTTCCCATTTTATATATTACAATCTAACATTTATTTCAAAACAGGGGTTTTGCTGCAGAAAAACAAAGGAAGGATGAGAAACAGAAGAATGGGGACCCACACTTACCTGTACACACAGCCTCCTGAGGTGAGTGGCTTGACCTTTTGTCTAAGAGCATTCCTATCAAACTACTGTGATCCACTCCTAGATAACAGCTGAGGAGCCCCCTCATTCTACATTGATAGTACTGGCTTTACCAACTTGGCAGTGGTCAATTCTGTGCCAGTTTCTCAGTAAATTGGGGGTATATGCTTATAGTTTGTTGTGCTGCTTAATGTGTGAAAGACCCAAATGCACTGCCAGCTCACAGTAGGTCTCAGGAAATGGTAGCAATTGTTGTGACTGATGATTCAGGCGAGGGTCCCAGGGCCTCTGCTGAGAGGTGATAGTTGGCTCAGGGTCAATTTAGACCAGAACCATGGTTTCCATCACAGGCCCCTCCTGTCACTGACAGGGTCAATAAACTGAACAAATGGTGCCCCCCCTTCCGGCCAGTCTCTTAACTATATTGATATTTGGTTAGTACTGTCCTGCATTTACATGGCATTTTGTGGATCACCCACATGTATTAGCTCATTTGAGTCTTGCAACCATTCTGTAGAGCAGACTTTATTAGTCTCATTCTACAGAAGAGGATGTGCATGCAGAGCCAGGGTTACAGTCCCCGTAACTGAAGACCAAGCCTAGCACTCCATTTATAGTGCTTTGTACATGGTACCTTCGGTATAAACTCAATCCCCAGGATGCTCACACTGTGACAGACCAGCAGGGACTTGGTTCATGTTGACCAACAAGAGTCAAAATGAACTTTTTTAGGGAGGATAATTAATGTAGGGAGAATTATAAACATCATGTTTAATTACTTTGGAAACAAAAACTCCCAAATGATGCCTGAACCCAAAAGGTACATAAAAATGGCCAAAAAATATTTTTAAATAATAGATCATTTGTAGTTTCTCCCTCATAATGAGTGCTTTGTAAATTACAAACCATATCAAATCATGTTAAGGCAGATGATCAATCTCGTTGCAGTTTTAACTATTCCTGGGAAAGTCATCTTGTTGGAGCGCTTCCTTGCCGCTGTTTGGTCAGTTGGTCCAGGAATTGGCAGGTGGGGAGCCGGCCCCGCCAGTCTTGTCACTGCTCGTTCTGCTGGCCCTCTGTGACGGAAGCAGACACGGAACCCTGGCCCTTGTTGACATCACTGATGCACACCCACTGCCCGTCGACTGACTCCTTCCACAGGGTCACCTGCAAGCCAGCACACACACAGGTCAACACCCCTTCCCTCTGCTCTCATCTCACTGGATCCCTGAATGATTGCCCAAATTCCCGAAGAACCATGGCTCACAGCCAGGTGGGAAAACAGAGGACTAATCTTGGTTTCCTCATTGAAATCCCATCAAAACAGAAGAAAAATCTACACAAAGGAGGTGACATGAGTAGTTCCAAATTTCACTCTCCCTTAAAAGAACAACTGTTCATGGACAAGACACCACTAAGAGAGTTCTAGAACAGGGGAGGGAGTGAGGCTGACACCCCTGCACTAGAGACCAGGCTGGACTGCATTAGAAAGGTAAGAGGGATGGCTACATGCTAACTGCACCTCTCCTCAGGCAGGTGCAGTTCTTCCGGAGGGAGGAGAGCAGTAGGATGACATCCATCTAGCACCACAGGAGGGGCTTGCAGGTGAACCTGTGGGGTCAACCACTGGGAATCCGATTGTGATGGAGAAGGGGCTTCCAACAACCAGCACTCAGATCTTCGCAGACCTAGTTGCTATCTGCAGAATCCAGCTAGTCCCAGGGCACAGTCTGACCAGGGAACTTGGTGAGTGCAGATCGCCTAATTCAGGTCTCCAAATCAGAGTTCTGCCTACTTTTGTAAGTCACAGCCCTACCTGCTGCAGGAAGAGCCGACAAGAACACCTCGAATCCACAAGTCCCACCAACTGTATAGCTGAGAGGAAGGCGGGCAGGCAGAGCTGATTACCTCCAGAGCAAAGCCAGTGGCCCTGTTCGGCCATGTCATCCGTTGGGGCATGCACTGGCTTAGGTCAAAGCCATAAAGAACATTAGTGGCCTTAGAGCTGCTTTTCCTGCT